TTGCCTACTCATAGTGACCCTATAGGACTCATTCCATACTCATAGCGACCCTATAGGACAGAGTAGAATTGTCCCAGAGGGCTTCCAAGGAGTGGCTGGTGGGTTGAAACTGTCAACCTTTTGGTTAGCAGCTGAATGCTTAACCACTGCACCACCAGGGCTCCAACCAACCACAGATACAGGGGTTAAGATTTACAACACATATTTTGGGGGGACACAATTCGATCCATCACGTTCCCCGAATCCCCTCCCAGGGCTGATGAAGGTGCCCTTGAGGCTCAGCATTAATCATGCACTGCTCCCCCCCTCCCCTCCACCAGCAAGGAGATCAAGACCCTGCAAGAGGAGCAGGATGAGATCACCCTGCTCCTGAGTCTCATCAAGTCCTCGAAGTACTTGAATCTGAATGAGAAGAACTACATGGAGCTGCGGTTCTTGCTGCAAACCAAGGAGGACTACGAGTCCCTGATTAAATCCATGAAAACACTGCTGACCGAGCTGGATGAGAAGGTGTGGCCTTTCTCTTAAAGGGTTCTCTTAAAAGACCCAGAGCAGAGGAACGGGTGGGTGAAGCACCTTGATGACCTAGGCAGGACCTGACAGCCAGCATCCACAAACCAAAACCAAAAACCAAACCCATTGTTGGTGAGTCGATTCTGACTCATAATGACCCTATAGGACAGAATAGAACTAACTGCTCCGTAGGGTTTCCAAAGCTGTAAATCTTTCGGGAAGGAGACTGCCCCATCTTTCTCCTGTGGAGCAGCTGGTGGATTTGAACCGCTGACCTTTTAGTTAATAGCCAAACGCTTTAACCACTGCGCCACCAGAGCTCCTCAATATCCACAAAGACTGTATTAATAAACGGTGTCATTTAACGCCTCCCTCACCAGGCTGTCAGCCTATCCCAGTGCCTGGCACATAGTAGGTCCTCACTCAATATTGTCTGAATGAACATGGAGACCTCATTAACATCATTTCTCTGCTTAAAGCCCTCCAGCACTAAATTGTATGCCCTGAAAAATGCTGAATTGGCCAATGCTGTGTTATATATATTTTTACAACAATAAAAAA